TTCCAGATCCCCCCCCCCGTGGTAATTTTGGGGCCAACCCGGCAGTTTTGGGGTCCCCCATTTTTCGGGGTCCCCCCGTTTTTGGGGTCGGGTTTTGGGCTCAATTTTTGGGGTCCCTCCGTGGTTTTGGGGCCGGTTTTTGGGTCCGCTCCGCAGTTTTTAGGGCCGGTTTTTGGGGTCCCCCTGCGGGTTTTGGAGCCTTTTTTTGGGGACGGTTTTTGGGGTGCCCCCCAGCGTTTTTTGGGGTGCTCCCGGGATTTTTTGCCTCAGTTTTCGGGGTGCCCCCCGCAGTTTTTGGGCTCGGTTTTTGGGGTGCCCCCTGCAGTTTTTGGACTTAGTTTTGGGGTGCCCCCGCACGGTTTTTGGGCTCAGTTTTTTGGGTTTTCCCCGCAGTTTTTAGGATCGATTTTTGAGGTCCCCCAGCGGTTTTCAGAGCTGGATTTTTTGGCTCGTTTTTTGGGGTCCCCCCCGCAGTTTTTGGGGTTCCCCTGCAGCTTTTGGGGCCGGTTTTTTGACTTGTTTTTTGGGCTGTCCCCACGGTTTTTGGGCTCGTTTTTTAGGGTCCCCCCGTGGTTTTGGGCTCGGTTTTTGAGCTCAGTTTTTGGGGCTCGTTTTTTGGGGTCCCCCAGCGGTTTTTGGGTTCGTTTTTTTGGGCTCAGCTTTTGGGTTTTCCTCGTGGTTTTGGGGCCAGTTTTTGAGCTCCGTTTTTGGGGTTTCCCCGCAGTTTTTGAGCTCCGTTTTTGGGGTTTCCCCGCAGTTTTTGAGCTCCGTTTTTTGGGGTTTCCCCACAGTTTTTGAGCTCCGTTTTTGGGGTTTCCCCGCAGTTTTTGAGCCCCGTTTTTTGGGGTTTCCCCGCAGTTTTCGGGCTCCGTTTTTTGGGGTTTCCCCGCAGTTTTTGAGCTCCGTTTTTTAGGGTTTCCCCACAGTTTTCGGGCTCAGTTTTTGGGGTTTCCCCGCAGTTTTTGAGCTCCGTTTTTGGGGTTTCCCCGCAGTTTTTGAGCTCCGTTTTTTGGGGTTTCCCCACAGTTTTTGGGCTCAGTTTTTGGGGTTTCCCCGCAGTTTTTGAGCTCCGTTTTTGGGGTTTCCCTGCGGTTCCCGGGCTCGGTTTTTGGGCTGCCCCCCGGGGTTTTGGGGTGGGGTTTTGGGGTGCGCACCGGGCTCGGGGGCGAGGCTGCCGAGGCGCACCAGGGGCGCGCCGGGGCCGTGCCGGGTGCGCGCACGGAGCTCCAGCCGGTACCGCCCGCGCGGCTCCAGCCGGGCCAGGGTCGTGTTCAGGGTCCCGGGGGGGAACGAGATCTCCACCGGGAACCCCTCCTCGCTCTGGTTCTCTGCGGGGAAAGGGTCAGGGATGCGAGGGAACCCCCAAAAACCCGCCCGGAACGACCCAAATAGCCCCGAATTCACCTAAAAAAAACCCAGCCCGGAACGGCCCGAAACACCCCGAATTAACCTAAAAAAACCAGCACGGAATGGCCCGAAACAGCCCCGAATTAACCGAAAAAAACCCAGCCCGGAACGGCCCCGAAACAGCCCCGAATTAACCTAAAAAAAACCAGCCCGGAACGGCCCGAAACAGCCCCGAATTAACCTAAAAAACCCAGCCCAGAATGGCCCGAAAGAGCCCGAATTAACCTAAAAAAACCCAGCACGGAATGGCCAGAAACAGCCCCGAATTAACCCAAAAATCCCACCTGGAATAGCCCAAATAACCCCAAATTAACATAAGAAAAACGGGCCTGGAATGGCCCAAACCAGCCCTGAATGAACCCAAAACACTCCCAGTGCCCCCAGTGCCCCCCCCC